GAAAGCCGTTCCATCCGGGAAAGCATCACAGATAGACAAGACCAAGTCGAGTCATCTGGATAGAACGCCGTATCTCAACGGTCTTACAGCGCGCCGTCAAGACGTAACCGCTGTCGTTTCGCTAACAAGCAGCTAACGAAATCCTGACGAGAACGAGGTTAGACTTAACCAGACGTAATCGTTACACTTCTTGTGGCTGTGCCCCGTGTCAAGGGCCGCCGCCAAGAGACACTCCCAAGGCTCGAGAGTCTTTTGATGGGTGCAGGCAGCTCTCGAGTCCGGCCGACGGCAAATGGGGTCGTTGCAAACCAAGAGCCTCCTCGCCCCCGCTTCCCGTTGCGCGACTCTCTCGTCGCGTCTCTCAGCATAAACCCGAGTCGCCTCGCTCCTGCCTCCATCAATTGCGCGCTCGATCAGGGGCAATGATTGCTTTGAAAGCACACTCAATAGGTGCCGGCACCGCTCGGGTACCGTGCAGTTGATATTGCTGCAGTGCGCAACCTCTCCTCCAAGCACGCAAACCACGGGCTCCTCTCCGGGGTTGCTCGAAACAACCACCCGGAGGTGCGGCCCCCCTTTCCAAGCCTCCGCGTCTAGCCCACGGAGGACACCCCCCACGCCACCATTCTGGTCTAGCGGCAATACCCAGGGCTTGCCGCTGGTGACCTCCCTCACAAAGGGGTGGGTGTTGTCAAAGGCCGTGAAGATGGCCGCGCCATTTTGCCACCAGCCGCTCATGGAACGGGTTGCTTCAAGGAACGACATGTCGTGGTCCCGGCACTCCTTGTGACCGCATAGGCACCGAAAACTTCTCGTGTGGTCGACCTTGACGAGCCGGGGGACGTTAATGAGCCCTCGGTCCGTGGCAAAGATGTCCAGAAGGCGCCCACTGGAGGCGTCGAGCAGGGGCACCAAAAAAAGGCCGGGGGCAACGGCGATCGGGGGGATCTTGCTCCGACCCAATTCCGATAGGAGGGCCACCGTGCCAAGCTTCCGTGGGCTCGGCCCCTCTTCAAGGGCTCTCTTGACTCCGCGCTTCGACGAAGCACTGTGTGCCTTGGGCTCGCGGCAGTACGGACAAGGGGCAAGATCCCTCCTCTGCACAAATAACTGGTAGCCGCCCTCTCTCACCCCCTCCCCTGACGGTACTTCTCGAAGCTCCTGAGTACTGGGGAAGGCTTCATACTTGGTGAAAAGCTCTTTCTGGGGAATAGCGCACCCGGATGCACTTGAAATAAAGGGGCTCCCCTCCTCGTATTGAGCCTCCACGCAACGCAAGCACAGAAGATGCCCCCCACCGCCTCGGCAAATCAGGGCCCCGCCCCGGTTTCGTTTCCGCCCCCAGATGAAAGGATCGCACCCTCGAGCATAAACTACCCCCTTTCCGCCGCACGTGCGCCCGATGCACGTCGACCCGAATCCGCCCCGTGCAAAGGCCTCTGCAGGCCGCAAGCTGAAGGCAAATCCGTAATCGAACTTGAAGTCGGCGCCCCCCTGCTTGGCCGCGTAGGAGGGCCGGCCCCCTCGCATGCCTCCAGCATTTGGTGGGGGCGGAACTGCAGCCGGGACGCTCCTTATGTCGTCGAAGACGGGAGCCGGGCCTTCGAAGTGGACTGCCGCGCAACTCCTGACGGCTTGACCAGCCTTCAAGGTCTCGTGCATGCTCGTCGAGGCCGCCGGGGTGGTCGAGGCAATGAGCACGAAGCCGGAGGGTCCTTTCTCGTCACGGGACGCCGTCACGAGGTTCATCCTGGGACCGGGGAGAAAGCTATGAGTTTGAGCAGGTTTCGATGGCCCTAAGTGTCTGCGCCGCCTTGAAATTGTAAAGGAGGCGACTTACTTTTGGCCCAGGAACGAACGCCCTTCGCCCGTCTTTCATCCGTCAATTCTTCTCTCGTAGACAGAAGCATTTTATCCTTTCAGGTTGGAGCTTTTGACTCGCAACCAAGTCCGGCCACCCCGGCATAATTGTCCACCCTTTGTGATTGATAGCGCCGACCAGTCAAAACTTCCCTCGTAGAGATAAGCATTTTCTCCTTTCAGGGCGGAGCTTCTGACTTGCAACCAAGTCCAAACATCAACGCATGATTGTTCACCCATGCCACTGGCTATCCGACAGATGTGTTGAGTGATAGGGCCAACGAGTCAAAAATCCCCTCTTAATATAAGCTCTTTAAGCTCTTCAAGACAGAAGTTTTGACTCGCTCGCAAGTCCGACCATTCCAACCAGGATCCTCCAACGTTATGAGTGATAGCGCCAATCAGTCAAAAGTTTCCGGATGCATATAAGCTTTGCATACTTTGAGGCTCGAAGTTTTTGACTCGCTCGTAAGGCCGGTGACCATTCCATCCAATATCCCCGAACGCTGTGAGTGATAGCGCCGACCAGACAAAAGTTCCCTCTTGATATAAGCATTTAGGCTGTTCAAGACAAAAGATTTGACCCATTCGCAAGGCCGACCATTCCACGCAGGATCCTCGAACGTTGTAAGTGATAGCGCCAACCAGTCAAAAGTTCCCTCTTGGATACAACCATTCAGTCTCTTCAAGACGAAAGTTTTGACTCGCTCGCAGGGCCGACCATCCCACGCAATATCCTCAATGATGTGTGTGACAGCGCCGGCTCGGTCAGAAGTTTCCTCTTGATATAAAGGCCGACCATTCCACCCAATATCTCAAAACGTTGTGAGTGATAGCGCCAGCCAGTCAAAAGTTCCCTCGTGAATATAAGCTTTTCATCCTTCAAGGTCGAGACTTTTGACTCGCAGGTAAGACCGTCCATTCCATCAACAATCCGACAGATGTTGTGAGTGATAGCGCCGGGCCAGTCAAAAGTTCCCTCTTGGATATAACCATTCAGTCTCTTCAAGACGAAAGTCTTGACTCGCTCGCAGGGCCGAACATCCCACGCAATATCCTCAATAATGTATGTGACAGCGCCGGCTCGGTCAAAAGTTCCTTCTTGATATAAACATTCCATCTCTTCAAGACGAAAATTATGACTCGCTCGCAGGACCGACCATTCCACTCAATATCATCGAATGCTGCAAGTGATAGCGCCGGCTCAACCAAAAGTTCCCTCTTGATATAAGCATTTAGGCTGAGTCAAGAAGAAAGTTTTGACTCGCTTGCAGGGCCGACCATTCCACCTCAGATTTCCGACTCGGAATGCTGTGAGTGATAGCGCCGACCAGTCGAATCTATAAATCCATGGAAATCCGACGACAGAGCGCAGACAACTCAACATGACGGAAGTTACTGCAGAATGCCAGCAAAGGGACGTGTCTATCACGTCCGAGCTGTCTCATTGCTACTGAAGAGAGGCGTGCATGCGCGCGCCACAAGACTTGAGGCGTGCGAGGTTCGTTTCTCACCCCGCTCCTCGTAGTGATTGCAATCGACTGCGCAACACTGACTGCGCCGCTCTCTGCCTCGTTTGAAGGCCCAGCAATGGGCGGCACTGCAGGCAAGTACGGCCGCTCACTAGCCGAAGCGCACACCGCCTGCAGTGCATGCACTTATCTAAGAATGAAGGTACTTAAGGCTTTGCAATCACTCAATTAACGAGATTCCTTGAATTAGGCGGTACTCATTTAAGGGCAAAAAGCAATGACAATTGATCTTTAAAACCGTCAGTGCTTTAAAAGAGGACTTTACCAGCTTAAGAAGACACATTTGAAATCAGCATTCAGTTTGGAGGCACGATGATGCTGTACATAGGCCCCCTGTGCGACCTTTGGCCCGTCAAACGGTATTCGTACGCTCATAAGGACTTCGTTTACATCGACGGGTTGCCTGGAAGCAAGTATTTTCGGCCGGATCAAGCTGGTTGGCAGGTGTCGAAGGACAAAGAGGCAATGGTATCCTGCATCCGAGACGATCTACGCACCGACAATGCGCTTGTCTCTGATGAAGAGCTTCCACACGACGTGCACGTCTTCAGATTGCGGGGAGGGACCACTCTGACGTACTACTTCAACAGGAAGGACCACGACATCCCTACCGATCCATTACTGAAGAAGATTCTTCCTCAAGTGACGGCCATCTACATACACGGCCCGTTCCAGCCCGTTCTGCCACCCCTGCCTTCCTTGAAGAAGTGTTACTACACGGAGTTGTGCAGTGGCATAGAGATGCCAGAGACAGTTTCCACAATCATAATCCCTGAGGTGGAGGCCTACTACGAGGACTCTTGCTACCGGATACGCTGTGACTATTGTGAGGACGCCATTAATTTGTGAAACGCAGCACTTGTGTCACCAATGTCCGCAGGGTATGCGACCAAAACAAAATCAAACATTGACCAGTTTGGAAAAATGGAATTTGCATGCTTTGCCCTTCATGTCCGACCAATGGTTGGGTCCGGGGAGACAAAAAGGCCCGCAAGGGCCCGCAAGGGTCCGCTTTCTAAGCGCATGTGCCAGGCGGCATTTGAAGACGTTCTAGGCTCATAGCTAATGGCCTAGTTGCTCGTCAGAAGTTTTGACTCGTAAGCAAGGCCGACCACTCCACCTAAGATTCTCGAACGCTATGAGTGATAGCAGCAACCAGTCAAAGATCCCCTTACAAGTATATGCTCTTCCTACTTTTGGGTTGGAAGTTTTGACTCGCTGGCAAGGCCGACCATCACCACCAAAAGGTTGTGTGTAATTGCGCGGACCAGTCAAAAGTTCATTTGAATATACGCATATTGATCTTCACGAAAGAAAGTTTTGACTCGCTCGCAAGGCCAACCATGCCACCTAAGATCCTTGAACGCCGTGAGGGATAGCGAGTGATAGCACCGATCGGAGATGTTGTGAGTGATAGCGCCGATCAGTCAAAAGTTCCCTGACAAGTATAAGCATTTCAGACCTTAAAGTCAAAAGATCTGACTCGCTCGCAGGGCCGGGCCAGCCATTCCCTCAGCAATCCAAGAGATGATGTGATTTGTCGTGCGGACCAGTTGAAAGTTCCCTCTTGATAGAAGCATTTTGCTCTTCACGCACGGAACTTTTGACTCGCTCACAGAGCCGACCACCCCACGCATTATCCGTGAACGCTTGTAAGTGATAGCGCCGACTCAGTCAAAAGTTCCCTCTTGATATAAGCCTTCAAGCTCCTTACGGCAAAGATTTTTGACTTTGAGCCTCCGTCGGAAGACACTCCGCCCATGATACCGAAGATTGTTGCTGAAAATAACGGAATCTATCGACCCGCACGCAAGGGGGGCCATCTCATTTTGAATTAATGGCATGATGAGAGCACACCAAAGGTGGACGGCCTTGCCCCAATGAGCTCTACTGAAGTTCGAAGATTGATGCGGCTGCACCACCCTCCTCCCGCAAAGCGCGCAGAATGGGTTGTTGGAGGCTCAGCAAATCCCCATTTCCGAGCGGTCAGCACTTCAATAAAAGTGATCAACAAAAGAGCGGTGCACTTCAATGACAAATGCGCACACAGAAAAGGTTCAATGCGTACTGCACACACACACACCTTGATTCAGAGTTGCGGGCGCGACCCAATCATCGCACTATCAGATCCCGTCCCGCGCTCAGCATAGCGCCGCTGAGGCCTTGCACATTCTTCACGTTCACAGGCCCACACTGTGAGACATAGTGCGTAAAAGTACAGAAGATGGACGTACGTCCTTGCAGTGCACTTGGAGGCGCTCAGCGGAGTGGCTCAGCTCAGTGTGTAGCCCTCAAGTGACACTAAGGCGGCTTTCACGGTTGCCAAGGTGCATAGCTTATGGGATTTGGAGCCAAACCGGGCACTTTCCATACTTTTCAGCCGAATCACAGATCGACGGCGCTCGGAGAAACCCTGGCCATCGGACGGCGATGAGAGTTGGGTGGGATTTCAACCTCGCGCCCCCCCTACCGCGCCTCCGCGGCCGCGGGAGCTCCGAGCTCCGAACCCTCGCTCCGAGCGGCCACGTCCGCGCTCGCTCTCGCGCTCGCGCCGGCGCCCGCGCGACCTAAGCTCCCAATTAACTCTAAACAGGCCCAAGGGCCAAGACTAGTAGTAGACGCGATGCATGGTGCCTCGAACACGCAGATATTTCAGAACTTGAAGGGTAAGGGTACCGTCACTTTGAAGTGGCACCCGGTTAGGTATTTTAGAGGCCGCACTTTGGCTGGAGGGTCTCAAGCCCCCCCCCCCTCCCGGCCTTGTCTTCACAGAAAAGGTCAAGGTCCCGGTCCATATAGCCACCACCCGAGCAAACGTTTTGGACATAAGCACTATCGTATGCATGATTTGGCCCCGTTTAGACGTTGAAAAGCGCTTCTCTGATACATTCATGATCTACAAACTCTGATCCGTGGGCTAAAAGATGATAAATCAGCATGGAAAAGCATGTT